CAAAGCCATATTTTTTTATACCTTGTCCATCCTTTAGACAGACAATACAATGCATATCTTACATACATTAACTGTCTTACATGTTCTTCTAAACTAGCCTTGTGTGGTGTTACATACCTGTAATTCCAGAAGCTCAGGATGCTGATGAGGCAGGAAGATCCTAAGTTCAAAGCCAGCCTCAGCAACTGAGCAAGACCCTCTCTCAAAATGAAAAGGGCTAGGAATGTGGCTCAGAGGTAAGCACCCTTGAGTTCAAACCACAGTACAAAAAAAAAAAAAAGTCAGAGATGATGCTATACATCCTATAAGTTGTTAATGTAAAGGGGTAAGCAATTCACCAATAATAATAATCTTCCTAAAATGTCAATAGTGCCAAAGTTAAGAAACCAAAAGACTTTCTTGTAGACTTGCAACTGCTTCTATATAATCTAAATTTAAAATGATTTTTAAGAAACTACTTAAATGTTGAAGGAAAAAAAAAAAACTCAAGAAATTTTTAGGAAAACAATTTGTTTAAACATTCCCTATGAGAAAACTACAAAATATTAGCAAAGTACATCTACAATATGAAAAAACTACAGGTATCATATTGCATAATAAAAAAAAATGTATGTACACTGATCTAAGGGCATGTTACTTCAATGAGTCTCAAATGATCAAATATTCTGTACTATGAAATGTAAGTTAACCTTTAAATTACAGTTACAACTTATTTCAATAAATTTAAACTGACATTAAATTAGGTTATATTTCAATCATTTAACCAGTAATTCAAACCAGGCTAAATTATTTTTAAATAATTAAAAGTATGCCTATCCTTGCAAGTCCTGACAGTGTGGAACAATATAAACACAAACAGACCTAGATCCAAATTTAAAAGCTGTATGTGTGCAAATAATTTAAATTATCTGATTCTCAACCATCTATCTAAGAAACAAGAAACCTAATTCAAAGACCTGTACTTAGCAATTAGCAATAGCTGGGTGTGGTGGCATATGTCTGTAATCCCAACTACTAGGGAGGTTGAGGCAGGAAAATTGTTAATTCAAGGTCAGTCCAAGCAACTTAGTGAGGTCCTGTCTCAAAATAAAAACTAAAAAGGACTAGAGATGCAGCTCAGTGGTGAAGTGAAGTTCAATCCCCAAACCAAAAAATAAATAAATAAATAAAAATAAAAACAAAAACCAAACCAAGCACAGTGAATACACCAGAAATCCCAGTGACCTGGGAGCTGAGGCAGGAATACTGCAAGTTCAAGGTCAGCTTTGGCAATTAAGAACAGCTATAAGCAACATAGTGAAATACTGTCTCAAAATAAAAAATAAGAAGGGATGGGGATGTGGCTCTGTGGTAAAGCACTTGTAGGTTCAATCCCCAATACCAAAATATGTGTGTGTATACATATACACACATAACGTATAAAATATATATGCATATAATTTAAATATTATATACTTAGTATTATATATTAAAATACATACATAGATACATAGATAAAATTAAAAGGGCTGGGGATATAATTCAGTGGTAGAGATGCCTAGCATATACTAAGACCTGGGTTCAATCCCCAGACCCATGATGGGGGGAAAAAAAAATTGGCACCGGGCACAGTACTGCACACCTATAATCCCTGTGACTCAGGAGGCTGAGGCAGGAAGATCATGAGTTCAACTCAGCCTCAGCAACTCATCAAGACCCTGTCTCTAATAGAATATAAAAAAGGATTGAGGATGTGGCTTGGTGATTAAGCACCCGTGCGTTCAATCCCTGGTACTATTTAAAAAAAAAAAAAAAAAAAAAAAAAGAAAGAAAGAATTCACCTATGTAACAACTCATAAAACTGTAAAATACACTTTAAAAATCAATTTTCCATTGCAGCAACTTTGGACCATAACTTAAAATTAAGAGTAATTTTTTTTTAGTTGTAGGTGGACACAATACCTTTATTTTTTATTTATTTATTCATATGTGGTGCTGAGGATCCAATCCAGCGCCTCACATGCACTAGGCATGTGCTCTACCAATAAGCCACAACCCCAGTCCCTCAGAGTCATATTTAAAAATAAAAATCTGACAGATAAAAGATGAATTTCTAAATACTACCTTACAAAAAAGAGAGCTAGATGGTACTTTCATTTATTTTGAGTAAATAACATTCACATGATTCAAAATTCAAAAGAGGTCTACGCCCTGTAAACAAATACCCTATTCCCTTAAACAGAAGCTACCAATTTTATCAGTTTCTTATGAATCTTTTGACTTTTAATGGAAAATATACATTTTCCCCCTTTTGACATAAATGGTAACTTCTTCCATTCTTTTCTGCACCTTGCTTTTTACATTATAATTATACATAGTAGTGGGATTCATTATGCTACTTTTATATATACATATAACATAATCTGATCAATCTTGGAGGCTATATTTAATTTATTTATTTTTTTGGACTAGGAATTGAAACCAGAGGCACTTAACCACTGCACCACATTCCCAGCCTTTATTTATTCTTTTTTTTTGAGACGGGGGTCTTGCTAAGTTGATTAGGGCCCCACTAACTTGCTGAGGCTGGCTCTGAATTGCAATCCTCCTGCCTAAATATCATGAACCACTGGAATTACAGACATGTGCCATCATGCCCAGCATTTATAACCTCTTAGGTTCATGAAACATCACCTAATTGACAAAGGCACAAAAAGGCCAAAAAAAATAAAAATAAAAATCTCAAATCAATTTACTCTTAGTAAACACACGCACATGAATTAAACTTTAGTAAACTAAAGAGTTATATCAGGTGATATGGTTAAATATCTATTTGATCAGCCACTCAAAATATTACCTTTACACAAAGAAAATATATATGGACTTCATTGAGTTGAGACTATTCAATATAATCTACTTATAAAACTGGGCCCACTAAAATATCCATGAAAAAATAAAATAAGGCTATTTATTGGTTATATTTATTCCAAGATTAAATTATCTGATCCTTTCCTAAATGTTCTTTGCAACTTCCTGGAAGAAGTTTCCTTCCAGATTTACACAAGTAGTGTTCTTAAAAAAAAAAAAAAAAAAAAGTCTATTTGTTTTTCTTTCATTTTTCTGATACACTGTGGTTCTTAAAGAATAGTACTAGTATAATAATAATATATACTACCATAACAATATAAGAATTTCTGGTAATCTTCAACTCAAGTACTAAGATATCATGGTGAAAAGTCACCTCACATAAAGCAGAGACCACAGGGATTACCAGAATAGTAATTTATCATTTCTAAAAAGCATTATAAATCTGTAAGTTTCAGAACTGTGCAACCTTACTACAGAAGAATATTTGAGGCTGTTGACAATATTAGCTGCAATCTTTCATTAGAAATATGTAAACTATAAGAATACATTTTCTTATTAAAAAAGTAAAATATCTGTTACAATGTTTATTAGTATAATCATTTATGACCATTTCTGCATTGTACCACAAAAATACAAAGTCATCCTTCCATTCAGTTTTGGCAAATGAGCAAATACAGAGGTCAAAGTTCATACACATGCTCTGTAAAACTAATCACACTGCATATACTACCATATTAAATAGGTCTACTTAAATGTCATTTTATTTTTAATCATTTTCTTATGTGTATACTTGGAAAAGTACATGATCACTGTAGATCAGACTTACTATTACCACATACTTAGAATGTTGAATTTCACAAATCATTGCTGACATTATCAAAATACATGCCATAAGAGAAAAAACAAATAGCAATAATCTTGAAAAAAAAAAATGTGAATCTTAAAAAAAAATCATTTGCAGGATTTGTTGTTGTTGTTAAATTCAATAACAATCAGAAAAACACCTGGCATTCTCATTAATCTTGGTATGAAAATCTCTACTAATAATTGCATAGTTTTGATTCATATTACTAGTCCATTTTGAATACTTTATATAAAAAAAGATGGCCAGCATAATGTGTAAAAATGCTTCAGGACTCAAAAGTGGAGAAGACAATTTTAATATATATTATGTTGTGCTATGATCTTTTATGCCAAAATAAACTCACTTAATGAAATAAAACCATGTATTTATCTGGTAAAATCCCTTGTTTTTTTATTTGCCTATTTTTTGAAAAGTAACAATCAGCTAACTATGAGGGACATCATAATGAAGTTTCACGGCAGAAGAGTCACAGAGGTATTGTCTTAGGAGAGACTCTGACCTATGACTTGTAAACAATATTTTGAAATATGCTGCTCATACACCCCATCATCTTTTCCTACCTAAAAATATTTAATACACCAAACCAGTCAAAAAGCTTTAGATAGCAAAAAAGCTGCCTAGCAATAGGGGTAAGTGGAAAAGAGATAATGATCTAATTTGGAATTAATTTCCTATATCTCCAGTAAAAATTCCCTTGTTCCCCCCTCCCAAAAAGATACTATTCCATTATGCCTCCCCTTGTTTCCCAACACCCAGCTATGAGGGAGTATCTCTGAATGTCCTTCTTTCATCAATACTTAAGGACTCTCGTCGCTTCTTCCCTAAGGACAGTAAAGGGCTGACAGGCAATAACCCAGAATACCCTTAAAAGTGTGGGCCTCAGGGCTGCGCTGCTCCCTGGATCCAGTTACCACCTCTCCCCTTCCCCCAACCCACTTCCCGGGTTTTCTCAGGCTTGGCCTGCTCCCTCCCCACCCCACATCCACACTTCCAGCTGTTGCCACCGCCTCGGGTCTCTCTCTAGAGCTCACATCCCGCCGAGGAGTGCTCCCCTCCCCGCCTGCCCCCCAAACCGTGCTCCTCCCGGACACCCGCCCGCGAGACCGTCTATCCCAGGGCCCGGGGAGGGAGGGCAGCTGGAGGAGGAGGGGGAGACTGCTGCTTCCCCACAGGCAGAAGGGCGGCCGCAGGGAGCCGCCCGGGGGATACCGGGGATGTCTGGGTCGCCGCTGAGAGGGCCCTCCCGCCCTGGGCTGAGATGGGGGATGTCCGGGAGTTCATTTCTGACCTCCTCGCTCTTCAGCACCTCCTTGAACTCCCGCTTGATTCGCTGCACCGCGATGTTGGCCATGTCTCCGCCCGCAGCTGATTCGTACCCGCCTCCTCCGCCACAGCTACGACCACCGCCACCGCTGCCACCTCTTCCTCCACCGCCTCCTCCCTCGGTGATTCAGACCCGAGCACACGAACGCTGCCACTGCCGCCCCTGCCGCCGCGCTCTCCTCAGTGTGGAATCACCTCCGCTCCCGGCCACCAAAATGGCGCCGGGTCCGCGCATGCGCACGACGTTGACCCGGCCGGGCGGCGCAGCCGCTCCCGTTGTAGCCCCATACGCCTCCGCCGCGATCCCGCGCTGCGCCGCGCGTCTGAGCCGGAGCTCCGGCCGCGTGGCTCCGCCCTGCCGGCGTCTGGGGCCGGGAGGGTGCGGCTAGCTGGCTGGCCAGCCCCGCGCGGCCTCCCGGGAGCTCTCCGGCGCCTCTGCCCCTCTTTCTACCCTTGTGATAAGATCCGGGCTCCAGCCCCGGACTTCTGACCGCGAGCTCCAGCCCGACCTGCGCGCCGCCCTGACTCAGACCCACGACCACAGGCTGGACGTGCCTCGCTGTCTAGCATAGGAAAACACTGTTCCAGAACTCGGTCCGGCCCATTGTCGGTTGGTATAGCTCCAGAAAATCCACTGCGATCGCTTTTGTTCTGGAACCACTGTAATGCCATTATTATTCGATCATCTCAAGGACTACTAATTATTAAGAATGGTTATTTTTGGTTCCCTTCGGTGTATGAGACAGGTATTCCACGGAGAGGCCCGAGATGGGTTCAGGAGCCAGATGTTCATCTTTGACCAATTTGGATATTAATACCGAGCTGTGGAACTAAAACCTTGGTTTTTAAACTTGAGTGTGCATCAGAATCCCTAAAGATTTTTAATTCGTCAAAAAGCGAATTGCAAGGTCTCATCCCTAGGGTGGGCCTAAGAATTTACATTTAACAAGCTCCCAGCTGCCGCTCATTCAAGGACCACACTGAGAACCGCTGAATTAACTCATGTGAACTTTTGTATAGAAGAGAAAATTGGAGAAATGGAAGCTCCTTGGGGGATGGGTTGCGGGAGGGAGAAGATTTACTTCTGAAGCCGAGGCCCTACAAAGGTGTTTGGCGCCAGCAGGCACTCAACAAATATTGAATGAATAAGTGAATAAAGAATAAAGTACTCTGGGGTTGTGGCTCAGTGGTGGAGCGCTGGCCTCTCATTTGTGAGGCACTGGGTTCAATTATCAGCACTACATATAAATAGATGAATAAAATAAAGGTCCATCAACAACCAAAAATAAAAGAGTAGATAAGGCCAGGGTTGTGGCTCAGTGGTAGAGCGCTTGCTAAATGCGCTAGAAAATGTTTAAAACAAATAAATAAATAAAGAGTAGAATATTCTCAATGGAAAATAAGTTTGAAAGTGGTTGCTTGGGTTTACAGAAAGTAACACAAGAGTGGGGGGGGTTGTGACTCAGTGGTAGGCACTGGGGGGGTTGGATTCTCAGCACCACGAGAAAAATAAATAAAGTGATTGTGTCCATCTTCTAGAAAATTTTAAAAAGTAACATGGTTTTGGTGTTGAATAATACATTTTGGAGTGAGTAATAAAGGTTATTTTAGAAGTGACTACTTTGTGCACTTCCTATACATAGCCAATCAGTAAAGTATCTTATAAAAATATCACATATACTTGATCTTGCAAAAGTAACTAAAACTACCAGGTGAGGTGGTGCACACCTGAAATCCCAGTGGCTCTCAAGGCTGAGACAGGAGGATAGCAAGTTTGAAGCCAACCTCAGCAACTTAACAAGGCTCTAAGCAACCTAGTGAGCCTCTGCATCTGCCTCAGAATGAAAAATAAAAAGGCTGGGAATGTGACTTGGTGTTTGAGCTCCTCTGAGTTCAGTTCCTGGTACAAAAAAAAAAAAAAAAAGGACTATTTTATTCCAGTTCCCTCCCATATCATCTCTCTTGGCCAGTTTTGGTTGGTTTCCTCATCTGTGAAATAAGGAAGCTGGATTTGAAAATCTATTTAAGTTTTAAAACCTCAGAATTTTAAAGCATCAACTCAAAACAGGTCCCCAAATGGGTAGACATAAATGATAAAACCCTTATAGCAGAGCCCCCTAGTGGTCCTAAGAGGAGTMAACTGTATATTCTACATAGATAATGGTACAATGAATTATTGCCATAATGTAAATCAAGCAATGCTATATGTATTTGTGCCGGTATATTTAAACTATATTATTTTGAGGTGTGTAAACTCTTTTAAAATACTTTACACCTACCACTCTCATTCAGTCCCCAGTCCTAATCGTGGAATTCTAAAGAAACTTGGAATACTCAAATCACAAGGGGCCAGTGAGAAATCTGATAATTTCTTTTGGCAGGACGTGTGTGTGGGGGGGAGTTAGTAATTGTTTTTTTTTTTTTTTTAAGAGAGAGTGAGAGAGGGGAGAGAGAGAATTTTTAATATTTATTTTTTAGTTCTCGGTGGACACAACATCTTTGTTGGTATGTGGTGCTGAGGATGGAACCCGGGCCGCACGCATGCCAGGCCAGCGCACTACCACTTGAGCCACATCCCCAGCCCAGTAATTGTTTTTTTCAATGCTGAGAATTGAACCCAGGGCCTCTTGCATACTAAGCAGGGATTCCATCACTGAGCTATATGCCCTAATAGGTTTGGTAATTTTTATTTGGGGAGGTACTGGGGATTGAACTCAGAGGTGCTTTACCACTGAGCTACATCCCCATCCTTTTTTTTTTTTTTTTGAGGTGCTGGGGATTGAACCCAGCGCCTTGAGATAAGCACTCTACCAGCTGAGCTACATCCATCCACAGCCCCCCAATCATTTTTGAGACAGGGTCTCACTGAATTTCTTAGGCCTCTCTAAATTACTGATGCTTGCCTTGAATTTGTGATCCTCCTGTCTCAGGCACGTGAGTTGCTGGGATTATAGACACATGCCACCAGGCCCAGCAGGTTTGGTAATTTTTAAAATGCACATAAACATTAACTCTGCAGTTCCACTTCTAAGAATTCATTATATAATCCTTCCAGAAAATAACAATCTCATTTTAACTGATATGAAACAATATTTTTGCAAATACATTTTAGCTGGGAGTGGTGGTATGTGCCTGTTATGCCAGCTACTCAAGAGGCTGAGGCAGGAGGATGGCAAGGTTGAGGCCAGCCTGAGCAATTTAGCAGGACCCTGTCTTAAAAGTACTGGGGTTATAACTCAGTGGTAAAGTACCCCTAAGTTCAATCCATAGTATCAAAACAACAACAACAAATACATTTTCTTTTCCTTTCGGTGTATTAACAATGATATGGGGCTCTGGGTGTACCTCAGTAGTGAGGTGTGCACTTAGCATGTACAAACCCCTGGGTTCAATTCCCAGCACATAAAAAAATGCATTTTTACATGTCTTTACCTATTAGCATAATATTTTATTAAGTTAACATTAGGAAAAGGTTAATTTTAAAGAAAAATAGAATAAACTTGTGGTAATTTAATATTCCACGATTTTACATTTTTTAATTAAGGAGAAGACATTCTCATATTTCCCAACTAAAAAGTAAACAAAAGCAATACGAATTAGAGCATCAAATGTACCTAGCAGCTTGGGAGGCTGAGGCAGGAGAACTGTGAGTTTAAAGCCAGCCTCAGAAAGTTAGCAAGGTGCTAAGCAAGTCAGTGAGACCCTGTCTCTAAATAAAATAAAAATTAGGGCTGGGGATGTGGCTCAGTGGTTAAGTGCCCTAGAGTTCAATCCCTAGTACCCCCGCCTTTCCAAAAAAATTGTATCTAGACTGTAAGTAGACTTCACAGACTTATTGCTTACTAAGAATATTATTTTTTTAATATTTATTGAGTTGTAGATGAACACATAGTATCTTTATTTTATTTATTTATTTATTTATTTTTGCTGTGCTGAGGATCCAACTTAGTGCCTCACACATGTGAGGCAAATGCTTTACCACTGGGCTACAGCCCCAGCCCCACCAAGAATATTATTTTTAAAAACAAAAACCGGGGCTGAGGTTGTAGCTTAATTTGAACAACTCTTGCCTAGCATATGTGAGGCCCTAGATGCTATCCTACCACTACAAAAACAAAACCTCATTACTCATGCTAAATGATTAGATTTATATTTATATTAAAACAAGGCTTTCTGACTTTTACACACACACACACACACACACTGTGTGTGTGTGCATGCATGCATGATGAAGATTAAACTTCATGCATGTTAAGCAGGCACTCATCACTCAGCTACTTCTCTAAGACTTTCTTAGAGAAAGAGTGCTTGCCTTTCACTGGACTTCCTTAGAACACCTCATCCCAAGTATTTTTATTTTTTTGTATCTATTTACTATTTTATACCTATTTACCTAGGTATTTATTTTGTGCTACTGGGGACTGAAGCCAGGGGCACTCTAATACTAAGCTACATCCCCAGCCCTTTTTATTTTTTATTTTTATTTTTTAATGTCATTTTTTTATTGTTGTATATTTTTTATGTGGTGATAGGGGTTGAACGCAGGGCCTCATGCATGCTAGGCAGGTGCTTTACCACTGGAGCTATCTCCCCAGCCCCCTCTATTTTTTATGTTGAGACACAGTCTTGCTAAGTTGCCCAGAATGGCCTCAAACTTGCAGTTCTCCTGCCTGGACCTTCTGAGTTACTGGAATTATAGGCATGCACCACAGGGCCTGCTTTCCTAAGAATTTCTTTATTCTTGTCCTGTCCTTTTTTTTTTTTTTTTTTTGGTTGTGGTACTGGGGATTGACTGGCAAAACCCAGTCTCAAACACAGTAAAAAGTGCTGGGGCATGTAGTTATGTAGTTCAGTAGTAGAGTGCTTACCTAGTGTGAGCAAGGACCTGGGCTCAATCCCCAGAGCCACAAAAAAATTAAGGAAAAAAAAAAAAGATCATTGGCATCAGAATAACTCTGGGCTGGGGGTATACCTCACTAGTAGAGGTCTTATCTAGCACTTATGAAGCCCTAGATTCAATATCTAACACTAGAAAAAAAAGAAAAAGAAGGACTGATTGTGGCTCAGCGGTAGAGCACTTGCCTAGCACATGCAAGGCCCCGGGTTTGATCCTCAGCACCACATTAAAAAAAAATAAACAAATAAAATAAAAGTATTATGTCCAACTACAACTAAAAATAATATTAAAAAAAAAGAAAATAGAAAAGAGGGCTGGGATTATGGCTTAGTGGCAGAGT